CATACGTACATACATTGTATGTATGTACATATGTGTATCACATCTCTTCTGTATGTGCGTTGCATTGGCAACCAGTATTCTTACCCTTTTTTACCTTCCATCCTACTCGACTTTTCTTTGTTAGCGTCGGTTATCCCATTAGCTGCTTATTTTTTCTTCAATTTCAACGTTCACTCTATTGAATAATTCTGTTTTCTTGGCTTGGCTATGAATATATGTATTCACATTTGAAATACTAATGGCCAAGCAGTCACATGCGGCACACACATACATATATACTATAGGTATGTATGTATGTATCCTTTTGGTAATTCACTTGCTGTTGCCGTAACAAGCTGAACCAACCCATAAGCTAAAGTATGAACCCTATATACATACATATGTACATACATACACACATCATAATGCAGCGTCATCTTCTAGGTGAGCCAATTCAATTATTTTACCCAAGCAGAGATTTGAAATGTAAATTTGTTATATGTTACATAAGCACACATTCCGCATTCGCTGATACCCATAAACAATTGACATCTCGTAATCTATGGGTATTGAGATCTATTTAAATCTCTCAACCTCGAACTTTGATAGTTTAGGTCAAGTTGGAAGAAGCGATAAGTTAGGTCAAGGTGCTTTTACTCGGCTCTACCAACGTCTGGCGTAGACTATATGCCGTCCATTGTACTCTTTTCGCATTCCCTTTTAATCCGTTTTAAATCTAAACGATCTACGAATAAGTCGGAGCAGATTCTTGGGCGTTAAAGACCTCAGGTGTTCGTCTCTCAACATATCGCTGCCGAAAGCATCTTACCTAATCCTTGCAAAGGCACATGTCGTGTATCCTATCAGAGTCAGAGAGCCGTCAGTTGGGGGAATACCTTGGAGTTTTGTGTAAAGTTAAATCTCGAAATGCAGAGGTCCACAAAACTAATGCGCACCGAAAGTAAAACAAGTTCGTTACGTTTTTCAACATAATTTGGTTGAGACTTGCATTACCGAGCTAAGTAGTTGGAGGTTTGACCAATACCTTCAGTGCAGAAGAATACTTTCTTACTTTCCTTTCTCTTCCTTTGGCATTTAATGGGACGAATGAAAGATTTAACTTTTTCCAAAATAATCGATGGAGAATAATAAGAAGCTGGCTTATTGAAATCAAAGTTCATTTAAAAGCCAGCTCCTACTACAGTACAAGGAAAACCTCTTAGGACCGGTTGCTCAAAGCCTGGTCAGGGAAGGATTGAAGCTAACGAGTTGTAGATGATGATTCAAAAATAGTAGAAGAATAAATAAGCGCTGTCCTCTACTCGAGAGTGCCTGCAGGTCAGTCAGTATTCTGGCCTCCAAATTGACTGCAGCGCCTCGTAGCCTTCTACTAAATAGCTTTGTTGCAGAAAAGCCCCTATCTTCAATAGGCAAGCGGTGTCGAAAGAAATGGTCAGTGCTGGCGTTAGTGGGTCATCCAGCTTTCTCACTCTTTGCTGGGTTCTCGGAACACGATGATCTCAAGGGCAGCGAGGTAACTGATGAACGTTCCTAGGACAGTCGGGTCTGCGTAACAGGAACGTCCCACTTTAATATCTGACCAAAAATTGTAGCTGTAGAAATCCAATAATGTATGGGAGAATTTGTATGCTCTTGAAACAAATACATACATACATAAAGCAGCTGATGAGATGGTCAGATATAGCTCGGAGGTAGATATAAACGAGACTAATAACACTACACAACCTCCGTTTAGGGAACCTATGCGGAAAATTGAATACACCGTCGCCGTTACGAATAGAGTATGATGATCCAAACGTGATGATTGTGCCGTCTCTGGGTCATAATGGACGCGCTTAGGCGGGAAAAGCATGGAAGACCCCACTAAATTCGAAAGATCTGTAATAAGAGTCTTACTAGCATCATCACAAGACATTTTTCTATTTAAACGGTGCTCCAACGCCGGCGAATATCTACTTACCAATTTTCTTGTCGTTATAGATTTTGTCATTATTACCGATTTTGTTATCGTTATTGATTTTTTTATTGTTACCAATTTTGTTATCGTTACCGATTTCGTTTCGTTATCGATTTTATAATTGCTATACATTTTGTAATTATTATCGATTTTGCAATTGTTATCGATTTCGTAGCTGTTGTCTATTTTGTAATTCTTGTCTATTTTGCAAATCTGGCCGATTATGTAATTATTATCGATTTTGTTATTGTCATCGATTTTGTTATCATTGTCGATTTTGCCATTTTAATAGGTTTTTTTATTGGTATGCGATTTGTTATAGTTATTGATTTTTTATCATTACTGATTTTGCTCTCGCCATCAACTTTGTTATTTCTATCAAGTATTTATCGGTATCAACTTTTTAAGGTTATCGATGTATTTTGTTATAGATATTTTATTCCTGTATTTGGGAGCGAATTTCCGTCAGTCAGTTGCGAAAATTAGTTTTAAAAACAATGGCATTTTTTGTTCACTGTCACTGAAGATGGCACAACGTCCTTTCCTTGTGCGTTCGCTCCAAAAAATACATCTCTCGGAAGAATCGAATCAATTTTCTACTCTCTTCGGAAATGTGTCTGTCTGGTCCTTTAACTTGCGGTCTGTCTTAAGATACAAGCAAAATAATTTGCCAAAGCTGCAAAAAATTTAAATCGATATACATAAACGTATGTAATCGAAACGCAAAATAATGTTCGCAACCCTTCTGATATTCGTCGTAAGAACAAAAATATTCACGCAATTTCCGAATTTCAACCCCTTGCAATATGAATTCAAATGGGCTTTGGTTAAAATTTACACGGAAGTGAATTGCAGAACCTGCTTGAATGTATGTATGTATACGTAAACTCACTGTGCTCACTGGGTTACTTATTCGGATGTAATCTTAGTTATGCATCTCATTGCTTCTTAATGATTTATCTGCTTTGCCACATCTGCTTCACTACATTTACTACTGATTTATCCCCTAAATATCCTTTTACCTGTGCTCTACGTACGACGGTACCACCACACATCTCCGCTCAACTACAACAATGTTGTTAGACTTGCCTACCTGGTAATTTGTCGCCAATAGTTGTTGTAGCACAGACTCACATTTTCGAATTTTTAAATTACTATGTATGTACATATAGCTATTTTTCCCTTACACACCGCTCGCTCGCTCTAAATTTCCATTACACAATCACACAGTTACTTTATCCTGCCCCTAAGGCCTGTCTTTGCAGTGTTGTAAATTTTCAGCTGTGCTCTGGAAGTTGCAAATCATCCTTCAACTATTGTTTTAACACTTGTAATAATATGGATGTGTGAGTTCCACCCAGGAGCTAAACTACCTGCTAATTTTTCCTCTGACAACGTCGTCTTTCCCTCTACTCTACGTCTTGCGTCGGCAGTGGCTCGGTGAAAGTCATTCGAAGACGTTCATAATAAATCTGGGATCTTAGTGATTTATTCGTTGTGTCTACAATGTGCAAGCAAAACGTGTTCTAAGAGAGTGGAAAAGTGTTGTATATGCCGTGTANTGGGATCTTAGTGATTTATTCGTTGTGTCTACAATGTGCAAGCAAAACGTGTTCTAAGAGAGTGGAAAAGTGTTGTATATGCCGTGTAATGCTCGAACGACATTTACATAGCTACCAAAATTATTACAATTTTTTTTTTCGCGCGCANAATGCTCGAACGACATTTACATAGCTACCAAAATTATTACAATTTTTTTTCGCGCGCGTGTACGGCTTTACAAAATGCCTTTGGAGCTGCTTACCTCGTTGCGTAATTTGAAAGCGCGTACCGTTCGAAAAATCGGCGCACTCTTACAAATATTGCTGTTAAATCATGTGCCAAGATTTTTGGCAATTGCGGCGTGTGTCATTAATTTGTTGGCATTATCTTTTATGTTATACATGTATTTGGAAAATATGGGCGCCTACTTGGCCAAACACAATATTACACGCACGCTGCTGCGGCTTGAGGATAAGTTGCCTGGAAATTAATCTGTGTGAATAAGCGGTAAGAATGAATTTGATTCAGCTGAATCTAAATAAAATCTATAGAATGCTGCTGAGGTAACCGTCTGCGAATAAAGCGATGGAATGCACCTTTCCATGCAGTTTTTTGAATATACATTGTCGGTCATGTCAATAGCCACCCGCGTTTTTTTGTAGTCTTTTAAAAATTGTAAACTTGGGCTTATATGAGTTTTGTTAGAGAATAAACTGTATTTGGAATGGTGGTGCTATTGATATGACCGATACCACCGTATGTACATACATGCAGTGGTTGAAGAAATAATAGAAACTTTTTATTTCGACCAGTTTTGGCTATATTACTTTTGTTTATTCGATGTTTAATATTTTTTTATAAAAGTCTAGCGCATTATATAAAACGCACCATATCCGCCTTTCAAACTTTGTACAAAAATTATAAAAATTCAACAAATTTTTACCGAAATCGCCCAAAAATTTCAAACTTTTAATCAGATTTTTTTTTCTAGTTTTGGGTATGCAGTGTTATATAGCATGTGGTTGCTACATAAATCTTGGCGTTAAACGTATTCGCTAAGATCTGATGCGGTTTTAGGCGCCAAAATAAAATCCCTACAAGTAATTTAATACTTGGGTTTCAGGTACAAGCCTAGTGTACTAAATCTTTCTCAAATACCTTTCATTCGATACCAACCGAATTAAAGTGATTGAAATATCTACAAAGAGTTATATGTATAATTCGAGTCCGTTGTACGCAGTAGGCCGCAAACTCCTTCAGACCTTGCAGGTTTGGATACCATCTCACCTTATTATTATAACGCAAAGGCTGTCGTTGTCTTGTCTTGCTATGCTATGATCCCACGGCATCAAGATCAACACAATTATTTGTTTGTAGTCTAAAGCTCTACGCTCTACACTATTTTAATAGGTTGCAAGTAATTAACTCTTTTGTATGCATTCATTGATTTCAAAAATCAACAGAAATCTAAATTTTTGTTTTTTTTTTGTTTTTATTTCAGAACCCGATGTCGGCATGCCACAACACGAAGCGCAAAGATACTTCCTCCAACTGCTCTCCGGCGTACAATACCTACATCAGCATGGTATAGCGCATCGTGACTTGAAGCCGGAAAATTTACTACTAGACGAACATGATAATATCAAAATATCGGACTTTGGCATGGCCACCATGTTTAGGTATTAGGTACAACAATTTAATTTACTTAGCAATTTATTTTACGAACGAATGAAGATTACACGCAGGAAATAAAAAAAAAAATAAAAAAAAAATAAGTAAAAACATAACCAATTCTTACATAAAAAGGACTAAAATATATCAAAAAAAGTAAAAAATAAAAAGAAAAAAATAAAAATAATAATAATAATAATAAATAATAATAATAAAAAATAATAATAATAAAAAAAATACTAATTAAAAAATGAACTAAAGGCATATTTGAATAAAATTTAAAACACTTAGAAAAAAAAAGAATAAATTAAAAGCAATTTAAACAAGCAATTTTTAAACAAATAAAAACAAAACCGACTTCAGTTCTCATATAAAATTTAAGAATTCCGTTAATTTCTTCATGAGTCAATGATCGGATCTAAACCAAATTAGTATGGGACCACCTTCCTTTAAAAAAAGAATTCTTTTAACGTGGTCGAAAGGTATGCGGTAACATACATAAAAAAACATTCCGACGAATTGATAACCTCCTCCTTTTTTGAAGTCCGTTAAAACTTAAAAAATACAAATATAAAAAACGTATTAAAAAAGTAACCGTTATTCAAATTTTGTATAAATAAGTAGATTAAAAAAGTAGAATCGAATTAAAAAGTTTTATATATAGCAATTTTATTGAGTTTGACTGAGGTCGTTTTTGATGAACATTTTTGTGGAAAAACAACTTTAACTTACATACATACACACATATCGTTAACTAAAATAAAGTTAACATAAAATTACCAAAAATAAACACATAAAATTAATTTAAAAAAATTAGTTGGATTTAATCCCTAAAAAATTAAAATAAAGTTAAAGCAAATAAAATAGAGTTTATCGGATTTAAATAAAGTTAAAAAATTAAAATAAAGTTTAAAACATTTTAATTTATAAAACATTGAATTAATAAAAACAAAAAAATAAAATAAAATACAAAATTTAAAGTACATTACATATCAAAAAAAAAA